GCTCCATCTATATGTAAGGGATTCCCAGGAAACTAATGTGCTTTCCTGATTCTGTGAAAAAAGGAGAAAGTGGTTGTACAAATCTCAGGGCTCCTTTTTGCTTAGTGAACAGCTCCGCATTATGCATCTGGCACTTTCCTGCTGCTCTTTTCCCAGTAATGGCCCCAAGGAGCCCATCGATATCCTAAGAGCCCCTCAAGAAAGAGTGGTCAGGGATCTAAGTAGGAAGCATTGCACTTTGCAGGAATTTTTTTTTTAATTTTTATTTTTCTGTGTTTCATTGAGAGAGTATTTATACAGATTACTTAAATATTCTATAACAACTTATTTGTTTAAAAATATCAAAGGATACTGATTTTCAAAGTTCGTGGAGAGTAGTTTTACATGAGGTTAGGGTAAGAGAAAGAAAATTCACCTCGTACATTGCAGGAACCCTGGAGCTTCTTGGGACACTCCCACAAGCAGAGAGAAGGGACCCCAAATTCATCCTCGGGGACCCTTCAATCTATAGCCTCTTCATAATAGACCTGCATGGGCTGGTGCTTGAAAAGACCTTGTTTATTTGCAGAGATGTTAGTCCTAGACCAAACTTGAGATTGATTTAAAAAACTGTAGGTGTATGGGTGAAAGAATGTTTTATTCTCCAATGTTAAAACCTAACTATGCCTAAGAAAACTGATCAGTTTTTGTTTTCATTTAAACAGTTGTGTTTAAATTATATATGAAGTTTTGTTATTTGACAGGTCTCTCACTTGTGGGTAGCACAAGATGATATTTATGGAAAGAAGAGGTTGCCAAAGCAATGCTAAATTCATGCAGTTCATTTCTGTGACACTCAGAATGTTTATATAGCTATTTTTGTTAGTTATGGTTTTAGAATTGATAGGCCACTTAAGAGTAAGGCAGAAAGTATTCATAGACAAGCACAGAGGCCTTTTTCTGTGTTATATGCATTTTTTAAACCTGTATACTGTACATGTTTCTTAACTAATTTTTTCCTGAAAATTGTGTAATTACAATGAACCATTTTTCATTTGTTTAAAAAAATAAATTATAAATGTAACATAATTTTAAAATTCTATAAATCATTCCACAAATAATTGTAGTGCATTCTTTATGTACCAGACACTTCAGAATGTAGTTGTGTATTATCATATCGTGTATTATGTACTGTATATAATGGCCTATGCTATACTTTTATACAACTGACAGTGCAGTAGGTTTGTTTACTCAAACATGTGAGTAATGAGTTTCTTTAGAAAGTTATGACAGCTATGACATCACTGGGTGATAAGAATTTTTCAGCTCCATTATAATCTTACAAGAGGCCCAATGCATGAAAAATTTGTCTATGCGGGGGGGGGGGGGGGGGGAGAACCCCTCAGCCTAGCCTGCACCCTCTCCAATCCTGGACTCCTTGGGGGATGTCCAACTGCCACTTGCAATCCAGAACTGCTTGCTCCTAACCACTCCCCTGCCTGATAGCCCCTAAGCACTTCTGCCTGCTTGATCACCCCTAACCAACTCTGCCTGCCTGCCTGCCTGATTGCCCCTAACTGCTCCCCTACAAGCCTGATCACTCCCAAATGCTCCCCTGCTGGCCTGATCACCTCCAATAGCCTCAGCCTCATCCTGCACTCAGGACCCAGGAATCCCTCCTACAGCTGGTTGTAGGCACACGAGACCTGGGCTTCCCTCCCTTTGGTCAGCTGCAGGCACCCAAGGACCCAGATAGTTTTGCCTGGGCCAGTCGCAGCCACAGGGGATCGTGGGCAGATAGCTTTGCCAGAGTCACAGCCACATAGCCGGGACCATGAGGCTGTGGCTTGCCCCACTCCCAGGCCACAGGCGCAGGTGCAGCCACTAGCACCTGGGACCAAGGGGAGGAGGCTTGTCCCTCTCCCAGGCTGCAGCTTGGTTGGTCTCCATTCCTCTCTTGTGAGCTCATTTGTGCCTGGCTGGTCCCCTAACTTCTTTCCCCAGAGTTGAGTGTCTGAGCTGTTACAGCATGATAGCATGAGAGTGTGATGACCATTTGCATATTAGCTCTTTATTATACAGGATGGGACCACTGTCATATATGTGGTCCATCATTGACTGAAATGCCATTATGCAGCATGTGACTGTATTTGTATAAAGAGATTTTTATTATAAAGAACTGGATACAAGATTATGGAAGCTAAGAAGTCCCAAGGTCTCCAGTTGGAGACTCATGAGAGCCAATGGTATAATTTCCAGTCTGAAAGCTGGCAGTCTTAAAATTCATGAAATGCTATTATATCAGTTTGAGTCTGAAGATCCAAAAAGACCTATGTTCCATCTCAAAGCAATCAGGCAGGAAGAGTTCCTTCTCACTCACAGAAGAATAAGACTTTTTGTTGCATTCAGGCTTTCAACTTATTGAACGAGGGCCACTCACATTAGGGAGGTGTGATATTGTGATATAATCCTATATAATAAAGAGGTAATATGAAATTAACCCTCACACCCTCACAAGATGGCTGCCTATGACCAGGCTAGCAGGAGGATTAGTGAGGGACGACCAAATCACTGAACAAGCAGACTACGTGGGCAACCAGGCCAGCGGGGGATGGGAGGTGGGGAGAGCTTGAAGGGCAAACAGGCCAGCAGGGGGGGTGGGGGAGTTGGAGGCGACCAGGCCAGCAGGCAGGGAAGTTGAGGGCGACCAGGCTGGCAGAGGGCACAGTTAGGTGCAACCAGGCTGGCAGAGGGGGGCAGTAAGAGGTGACGAGGCTGGCAGGGAGTACAATTAGGGGCGACCAGGCTGGCAGGGGAATGCAGTTGGGTATGACCAGGCCAGCAGGAGGAGCAGTAAGGATGACCAGGCTGGCAGGGGCAGGGCAGTTAGGAGCAACCAGCTCGGCAGGGGAGGGTAGTTAAGGGTGACCAGGCAGGCAGGTTAGCAATAAGGTGCCAGCAGTCCAGGATTGTGAGAGGGATGTCTAATTGTCGATTTAGGCCTGATCCCAGGGCCTAAACCGGCAGTTGGACATCCCCCGAGTGGTCCCAGATTGGAGAGGGTGCAGGCTGGGCTGAGTTGAGAACCACTAGCAGGGTCAACTAAGACCATCGAAAAACAGACCCATGCCACCCGGGGCCACATTATCTTAATTGATGTTGGAGTGTTTCCATACTTTCGTAGTTTCCTGATTTAGGACCACAGGTGGTTAATGTCATCCACTATGGAATTGACAAACTAGGTTACTAAAGGTAATCTTTCAAAGCTTTTAGGAATCTCTAAAGCAAAGGAAATAAACTAGGGAAAGAGATTATTTAGGTTTCTGGAAGAAGGAGTAGGTTTTAAGGTGGAATTTAAAAGACAGCAGAGTTTGGCAAGAGAAAAAGCTTTCGGGACTTTCGAAATGACCAAAGCATATGGAGGAGTGGGTAATTCCGCTAAGCAGTCCATAGGATGTAAGGGACTTTTGTGAGATGAGGCATTCTGAATCCATGCTGTACGGATTTGTTGTTGCTGGTTTTTTGGTTCATCCTCACCGGAGGATATTTTCTCCATTGATTTTGGAGACAGTGGAAAGGGCAGGGAGTGGCTGGGGGAAGAGATGAGAGACAGAGAATAACATCTGGGAGAGACACATCAATTGGTTGCCTACCGCAAGCGCCCTGAAAGGGGTGCGGGGCTTCGGGGGTTGAACTTGGAACCCACATACATGCCCTTGACCAACCCGAGACCCTCTGGTGCTCGGGTCCACGCTCTACCCACGGAGCCACCCCGACCAGGGGGCCTGTGAGAGGTTTGAAACGCCAACCAGAGGCTTGGCCATCACTCTGCCAGAATGGGGAGCCATCCACGTTTCTCTGCAGGTGAGCGGCATGACCCGGACTGGCCGCCCGAACGATGAGTCAACGTTCTACCTTCCCCGGTGGGTGCTCTCTTCCTATCTCTGCCCACCCCGCCGGCAGGCTTCCGGCCTTGGGGCTCGGACCGTGCGGGGCGTGCCGGGCCGGCCAGGGATGCCGCTGCGAGGCGCGACCCCGGCAGCCAAGCCGGCGCCCGGCGCTGCACCTGGGCCCGGCCGGCCGCCGATTGGACGGCTCGGGGTGACCCCGCTGTATCGCGAGCCGGGATTGGCCGCGGCGGGCCGCGGTGCCCCCGCGCTGGCTTTGTACGCGGAGCCGCCAGCCGGTCCTTTAACAATGGGCGGTGCGAGGAGCGCCCGGGCGCTGGGTCCGAGCTGAGGCCGGCGCTTCGCGGCCGACTGTCTGCAGCATCATGAGCGGGGCCGGCGTCCCCCGCACGCCGGCGGGGCTGGGGCTGTGAGGGCCTCGGTTCCGGGTAAGGGAGGCCGCCGCGGGACCGGCGGGCCTGGGCTGGGCGCCGGACCCCACACCCGTCCGGCCCGGCCTTTTGTTCGATACCGTGCGCCCCTCGGGACGGGGAGGAGGCGGCCTGGTGCGGGCCGGGCCGCGGGGAGCCTCCGGGGAGGAACGAGCGCCCGGCCGTCTGCAGCGGGGACCGGGCGCTGGGCAGCCTCCGCCTCCGGGCTCCTCCGCGGGCGGTTTCCACCTTCAATGGGCTGTGACGGGTGTCAGGTCTCTCCGCTCCCTCGGGGCGCACTCGAACCCCGGACACGGGGAGCCCGGAGCCGCTCCTTCTCCAACTCGCACCCGGGTCCACGTGGAGGTGGGGGTGGGGGTGGGGGTGGGGAAGGGACTCGGGCCCCAGTTAGCCCCATTTTCCCGACACCCAAGTGCCCGGTCGGTTTTCGGAATGAGCCAGTGCCTTCGGACTGGGGAGCTCGGCCCCCCGTGCGGCGGAGGCAGAGAGTGGGTTTGAACCTGCTGGCTTTGGCATGAGGCAGGTGGAGGGGAGCAGGTCACTTAGGGTGGCCTGCGGTCACACCCCTCCGGCGGGGCCGCGGGGTCGTCCGGAGGGAGCTGGCAGTGACCGAGCCTGGGGTCTGTCTGTCTGTCTTGCAGACTGAAGTTGCCTCGTCTGGCCAGGCGCGCCGCCCGGTCCCATGGAGCTGGAGGGGCAGTGGTGGCGGGGACAGCTGGCCGCTGATATTCACCAAGCCCTTCGGTACAAGGTAAGCTTGATGCCGGACCTTTCCTCTTGGTACTTGGTGTTGGTATGAATCTCGGCTCCCTGGAAAGTCAGGTTCTTTCACCACTAGTTTCCCAGAGCAGAAGAGGCGAGCTTGCTTATTTGCTCAAGCTTAATTAGCTTCTTGGCTTCCCTGCGTGTCAGAAGAACCTGCAACTTCAATGAGGGGTGTGGGGTGGAGTGTGTGTGTGTGTGTGTAAGGTTGGGAGAGAGAAGGTGTGAAGAGACATTCTGATGTTTCCAGATGGAACAGGGATTTCATATTATACTTAAAAAGCCAGCAGACATTATTTTATGGGGCAGAGCAGTCTCCTTGTCCTATAGATGCTTTTGTATGCAGCTGTGTGTAATGTCACATTTTGTACATAAATAATTCCCCAGCCTTTCCACTAGCTTGCTGTGAGACTTTGGACAAGTTAGTTCGTTTTTCTGTTTCCCAATTTTCCCATTTGTAAAATGAATTATAATAGGATAGCGTCTTCTGAGATGATTGTAAAATTAAATGAGTTAATACCGTACGTTGGAACAGTGATTGGCATACTATAGTAAGCACTAAGAAAGTGATAATTGTTATTATTCTCTACCCATCCTCCCCCCCAAGATTTGGGGCTGTACAAAAAGCCTTAAGGTAGAGGAGTTAACTACTGTTTCCAGCAAATGTCAAGGGCAGAAAGTAGACCTAGTATACTTAATAGTATATTGGGGGGAAAGGAGACACGTTTCTGGCACAATGCAGTGTTTTGTTGTTCTGAAGCAACAATTTTACTTTTTATGTCACATCTCAGTTTAATGGGTCAGCTTTGCCTCTTTGATAACCAGAAGAGAGACCAGATCCAAAATTACCTCTAATTTGCATCATTTTCATCATGAATAGAGGAGCCATTCATGCGGTATAGAAAATTAGAAAGAAGCAAAACAGCTGACTCTAATAAAAAGGATGTTGACTGTTGGATTGAGAGATCCAGAAATGATAATTTGTCTTGATTATTTAAACCAGATTAAGTAGAATTAGAAAACCTAATTTTGACTTAAATTGCTACAATTGTGCCCTTTTTAATTACTGAGGTTTCTAAATACTACTTATTAATTCAGACAGTATATACACCCCATTCTGTAAGGGGTCCTACCACAGAAAAGTCTCAACCATGGGAACAGTTTTCTGGAATGTTAAGAGAATTGCAGGTTTCTCACTTTGAAAATTGCCCTGATACTTTTTTTTTTTATTTGTCTTTCAGTTTTAAATGTTTTTCTTTTCTAAGTATTAGCTCTTTATCACTCTGGTATATGGTGACATTAATTACATATTTTTTTAATGACATGAAATTTAAAATACTTTTCTTGGATATTTCCATTTCTCCCCCATAGTTTTTTATTCTTGTATTTTATGTGTAATTTTAATTCTGAGTGATTACCTGCATTAAGTTTACCAGTTTGAGATTGAAAGTGGATTCCCCCTCCCCCCCAACACACACACACCCCCCAGTAAATTTGTTGAATGCTCTTGTGTATTAAGCTCTGGCGAAGATCTAAGGAATAAGACATAACTGTACTAAAGTTGCTTCTGAACTATCAAAGGACAAGATAGTGCAGGAATGCCATTGAAAGTTATCTTGGGCCACTTGTGTCATGCTGCCCTGGGTTAGCTTTATTTTTATCTTGAAGCATTTTTTAAGCCACATGTTATGATTTCACACAGCAGTTACACTTTATGAAGAACTTACTGGTATCAGTAAAACTTGAACATGAGGAACTGGGGAGACCACTGTTAGTAATACACTAACGTCAAGAAAAGTTAAAATGAACTTTTCTTATTGAACAAATACATGTTAATTCTAGGCTGTTAATTAAGTGATTTAGTTGGATAATCATATGCTTATTTATTTACAATATTTGAGAGCCTACAATGTTCAAGGTGCTATGCCAGGTGTTAAAGTGGTAACAGTGAATAAAGCAGACATGATTCCTGACTTTATGGAGTCTCATATAATTCAAAGTATCAGAATTTAGGTCTTCCTTTGGGCAGTTGCCATTTGGACACTATGAAAGATGTTTACATGCAAGGTTTGTGACTAGCATATCTACTAAGAAGGAGTAAAAATGCCAGCTATACTGTTTTTGTATCCTCCATGTAATCACTCCTGCCCCCTTACAAAGTAGCTGTCATTTTCTTTTTCTTCTCATTGCTTTGCTATGCTTTGGGGAGAATTTTTAGGATCCTTTATGGCAGATAGAAGCAATGCTAAGCTTTGTAAGAAACCATCCCCAGACTTATATTTACACCTGTGAGTATTTCTTCTATGCCTTTATTTTCCATCCTGGCTGGAAGTTAACTCATTCTTGGAAGGGGGTGGTCCTTGGGATGGTGAGCTGATGAGGACTGGAGATGGAGATGACAGGTGGATCCTGAGAAGCAGATGGAAACAAGAGTGTTCAGTTCTAGGGAATCAGGAATACACAGAAAAAACTTGTAAGCTGAAAGAAGCATAGGTTATTTTCTCATGCTGTACAACTACAATACCTGGAAAAAGATAATTACATCTGACAGCTATCTAGTAAGCACTTATACTTTACCATTTAAAATCAGAAAAAGAGAATATATTGGACACATTGTTTAAAATTTCCAATTAATGACCCTTTGTTTGCCTTTGTTTTGCCTTTGTTTTAACATAGGTAAAGATAAAGTCCACCAGTGTTTTCCAGCTGTTTCCCAGTGAGTTTTTAAGACCTTGTTCAGGCCTCTTTTGCAGAAAAACTATTCTGGCTTTGTTTTTCCCCCAACAACCCACCCTGTGAGTGGAGTTAGATCTCTCACCTCAGTGTTCAATACCCTGTGATTGTATATCATATTCTAAACTCTGTATTTTGGCTCACCTACTAAAGAGAGGCTTGAGACCGTTTTTCCAGCTTGTATCCAAGGGGTTTTAGCACAGTATCTGTTACATGGATAATGCTCAATTAGTGTCGTGATGACAGCAAAGATGGGTGAAGTTTGAAACTGTAACCCATTTACACCATTGTAAAGATCTATAGAAATGGTAAAGGAGAAAAGGAAAACTGGAAGGGCTACATAAGAAATCCCTTGATTTGGAAAAATTTAATTTTTTATTTTTATCTTCAAAGAGCCAAGCCAGCCTAAGCCAATCTTTTTTCTTTCTCCTGTAGCATTTGTGCTTTTTATCACTTATATAAAAATTAAAAACATAAAATGTCCCATTGGTTTGTTTCATTAAAGTTGTTGAATTTATTAATATAGAGTTTGTTGTAGTATTTTATTTTTCTTTATGTCTTCAAAATATGTAGTAATATTTCTTATTTAATTCTCTTTTTAAAATTTAATTGTTTGTTGAATTTATTAGGAAGACAGTTGATGGAGTTCTGTGGGTTCCTGTATACAATTCTATGGTAATAAAATAAAATTGCCCATTAGCCTGTGTCCCAGTTAATTACTACTAAATTTTTAAAAATTTTATATAATATATGCATATGGTTAAAAAATACTTTGGATAGTATAAGGAGTAAAATGAGTGTACCCCAATCCTCACTATTTCCTGATCTAAGGTTACCACTATTAACATGTTTTGTTTTTCTTGAAAAGATACCCAATAAATTAGCATATTTGCAAATAAATTATTTTTGTTGTTGATAGAACAGATCTAATATATAATCACTGTTCTACACCTTCTTGCCACCTAACCTCACTCAATGTATCAAATTTTTCCATATTTACTCTAGCCAGCTTGACTCAGTGCCATAGAACATTGGCCTGCAGACTGAGGGTTTCTGAGTTCAGTTTCTGTTAAGGGTACATGCCTGGGTCCCTGGCTCAACCCCCAGTAGGGGGCGTGTAGGATGCAGCCAACCAGTGATTTTTCTCTCATCATTGATGTTTCTATCTCGCTGTCCCTTTCCCCTCCTTTCTGAAATCAATTAAAAAAAAAATGTCCATATCAACACATACAAGTCTATTGCCTTTTAGTTTAATGTCTGCATATTGAATTTATGTCCCATAGTTTATGTAACCAGTTTCCTGTTGATGGACAGCAAGCTTTTTTCTAATTACACTTTTGAGGTAATTGTAGGTTCACATACAGTTGAAATAGTACAGGGAGATCCCCTATATCCTTTACCTCGTTCCTCCAGTGGTAACATCTTGTAAAACTATAGTATAGTTATCACAGCCATGATATTGATGTTGATATAGTCAAGATACAGAATATTTTCTATCACCGCAGTGTTCTCTTGCGTTATCCTTTTATAGCCATGCCATTTTCCCTGCCACCCACATTTCCCCTCCCCTTAACCCCTGGCAACCACTAATCTCTACTTCATTTCTATAGTTTTGTCATGTCAGGAATGTTAGTTATATAAATGGAATTATACAGTATGTGACCTTTTGAAATTGGCTCTATTCACTCAGCATAATTCTCTGGAGATCCATGTATTTGCATGTCATCCTTTCTAATCTCTGTATCACTCCATGCTAATCTTTTCTATATCATTCCAATTTTAGTATATGTACTGCTGAAGCTAGCACACATTTAATATTTTATCTAAATTTTTATCTTATTAATTAGATTGACATATAACTTCATTTTTGTGTTTATTTCCCTTTATTTTTTTTCCATTTGTGTGTGCGTGTGTTTATTGATATAAGAAAGAGGAAGGGAAAGAGAGAAAAAGAAACATGAACTTGATATTTCACCTTTTTATGCACTCATCAGGCTATTCCACCTTTATATGCACTATTGGCTACTTCCTGTAGGTGCCCTGAACTGAGATTGAACCTACAAACCTGGTGCATTGAGATGAAGCTCAAATCCAGCTAGGATGTTTGCTTATTGCTGTGAAATGTGTATAACAAAATTTTCCATTTAAATCATTTTTATGTGAACAGTTTAGTGACATTAGATATATATGGCTATCATAACCAACATCCATCTTTAGAACTTTTTCATCTTCCCAAACTGAAATACCCTTTAAACAATAACTCCCCATTTTCCCTGTACTCCAGTGCCTAGTAACCACAATTTTACCTTCTGCCTGTATGACCTTGAACATTCTAGGTACTACATACAAGTGGAATTATACAGTCTTTGTCCTTTTTTGTCTGGCTTATTTCACTTAGTATGCTATCTTTAAGGTTCATCTGTACTGTACCGTATATCAATTTTATTTCTTTTTAAGATAATTAATCCATTGATGTATAAACTTCACTTTTGTTGTTTTTATTTTGTTTATTCTGTTTTAAGAGAGAGATGAAGGGGGAAAGAGAAAACATTGATTTGTTGTTCCATTTATTTATGCATTCATTGATTGATTCTTATATGTGCCCTGACCCGGGATCAAAACCACAACCTTGGTGTATCGGGATGACGCTCTAACTGAGCTACCCAGCCAGGGCCCATATTTTGTTTATTCGTTCATTAGTTGTTGGACACTTGGGTTGTTTGTTTCCACCTTTTGGCTGTTGTGAGCATGGTTGTACAACTATCTGAGTCCCTACCTACTTTAAAATATTTTGGTATATACCTAAAAGTGTAATTGCTGGGCCATATGGTAATTCTACATTGATTTTTTGGGGGAATTATAATACTGTTATTTATAGTGGCTGCACAGTTTTGATTCCCACTATACTCCAGGGTTCTAATTTCTCCACATTCTTGCCAACATTTATTTTCTGTTGTTTTGTTGTTGTTGTTGTTGTTGTTGTTGTTATTTGTTTTTTGCTTTTGTTTCTTTTTATAAAAAGCAATTCTAATGGGTGTGAGTGGTATCTCATAATGGTTTTTATATACATTTTCCTAAGTATTTGTGACATTGAGCATTTTTATTTTTGTTAATCCTCACTGGAAGATATTTTTCCCATTGATTTTTATTTGTTTGTTTGTTTGTTTGTTTAATTTATTTAAGCAAAGGTGAAAATTTATTGAAGAACAAGTACAGACTCCCACATGGGAAAGGGGAAAGACTTTCACAGCACAGATGCGCACGTGGAGAGGGGGAAAGTGTGTTCCCTTCCCATTCCCCCCCATTGATTTTTAGACAGAGTGGAAGGGAAAGGGAGAGAAAGAGAAAACATTGATCTGAGAAAGACACATGTTGAGTATCTTTATATGTGCCTATTGGAGAAATGTTTATTTAGATCCTTTGCCCACTTTTTAATTATTTGTTTTTTGCTGTTGAATTGAGTTGCATATATAAAAAGAGTTATTTATTTAATGTGGATATTAACCCTTTATCAGATATATGATTTGCAAATATTTTCTCCCATTCTGTGGGTTGCCTTTTCACTTTATTAATAGTGTCCTTTAATGCACAAAAGTTTTTAATTTTGATGAAGTGTAATTTATCTTTTTTTTCCCCCCTGTGCTTTTGGGATCATACCCATGTTACTTCTATAATGATACCTATCAGGTTTAGTATTGGTATTGTGCTCATCTCATAAAATAAACTTAGAAACTTGACATCTTTCTCTGTGTTCTAGAAATACTTTTATAGAATAGAATTTTTCTAATTTTTAAAAAACAAGTTCATTTAATTCTGAGATTGAACAGTGGTAATGGAGAAAATTTTAGGTGTATGAGAGGATGATAGCAAAGGGAGATCATAAAACTGCTGAAAGGGAAGCATAATTAGAAGAGACTAGTGGATGAATACTAGTCTCTACCTTTCACATCCCTGCAAGTATAATATAATATGTGACATACTAGGATTATGTCCACTTATCTGTTACCTTCTAACAAAAAGCTTTGAGCTTTTTGGAGGGAATGTGTGTGTGTGGTATCGTTGGGTTTCGGGTAAGGATGTTTTTCTGAAAATAGCCATTAAGAAAAATAGGATTCCCTTATTAAAAATTTTAAATACATCTATTTTGTAATCCAAGAAACACCTATAATTGATCATGTCAGGGGTGATTAAGGATAAGGAGAAAAGTTTGGTTTAAATTTTAAATGCCATTCATTATTCTTCCACTCAACTTTTTCATTTTTGTGTTTCATTCAAGAAAAGTGTGCTTTAGGTACTTGTAACACTAATATATTGGGAAAGTCATCTTTGCATTTCTACTACTGTTTTAACTAAATATTGTTCCTCTTGATTTAGGAGCTGAAGTTACCCTCCTACAAAGGCCAGTCCCCACAACTAAGTCTCAGAAGGTATTTTGCTGACTTGATTGCCATTGTGAGCAATCGCTTCACACTCTGCCCTTCTGCCCGACATCTTGCTGTCTATTTGCTGGACCTATTTATGGATCGATATGACATCTCTATCCAGCAGCTTCATTTAGTTGCACTTTCCTGTCTGCTTCTGGCAAGTAAGTATGAATCTTATGTACATGATTGGAAATTTATGTTGTTTATAAAAATGAAATGAATTTATGTAAAATATCACCAAATTCCATTTATTCCAGTGTATGACTATCAGAAAGTTTGGTGTTGAAAGTTCTCCTTGGGACAATGATTCTTAGATATCAAAATGTGGCTCTGGAGTCTTTTAAAAACATATGTGCCTAAGCCATACATCCTGTAGATTCTGAAATAAATATCTAGGCCACTCCAGAATCAACATGAGGCTGAGGTATTTTTTAACTTTTTGAAAAGTTCCAAAGATGATTCTGATATACCTTTCCACTTGAGAACCATTGTCTTAAAGCAGTAGTTTTCATATAGGAGTAATTGTGCCCCACAGGGATTCTTGGCAATGTGTGGAAATGGTTTTGGTTGTCACAACTTGAAAGGATGCTCCTAACATCCAGTGGGTAGAGGTGGGGCAGTACCCCAAAACATAGAATCATCTGGCTCAAAATGCCAGTGGAGCTGAGATTGAGAAGCTCTGTCTAAAATGTACCATCCTCTTCTATTGTTAGAATACCTTCTGATTGTATAATAAGTAGCTTAAAGAACTGAAGGTTCACATGCAGCTGCTATACATGTGGACCCCTTTGCTTATGCCATAGGCACAACTATGGCATAAGCAATATGGAATCTGATATAGCCATGCTTGTTACCCAATGCAAAATGTGCTCATTGGGCTTTTTGGTACCTCTTTCTCTTAACATCTTCCTGTAACTCATTTCATTGTTTGTTAGTACCCCAACGGAAGAGGAAGAGGATAAGTAAAGGAATTGAAATGGAGTTTTTCTTCTTTTACTAATGTGAGAAGATTGTACTAGATATTGGAGTTGAATCTATTATGTAGTTTATATATTATTTAAGTAATTATAGTAGAAATCTAAGCCCCAGTTCAAAATAGTATTTAGAAAAATCTACTGCCTTTGTCTTTAACCCCCACTTCAGGGTTATAGTGTGGCTGCTCTCTAAAGAGCATTCCCCATACTGCGTTATTTCTAAAACATCTTGGTGCTTTTACTGTAAATAAACTTAAAACCAAATGTAGGCCTCTGTGGTATTATTTCTGGTATTAATTTTTTCTCATGCTTTATTTTCCTACCCTAATTCTTCCTTTGAGCTAATGACCTTAACTATTTAGTCTCCTTGAAGGTCTTTTTATAAATTATTTCAAATCCTTTGTGGACCAAGCTGAATGTAAATAAACACAGCCCTAGTGAAGACTTCCCACTACCTGTTGATTAAGGAGGAAACTATTTTGAACATTTTATCTGGACCCAGCCACCTTGCAAGTCCCATCTTCCAACCCTATTCCCAATTACTTTGAGCCAGATTCTACCAGAATATTATCTACTTCCTGAAAAATCTACATTTATCCTTTAATCTATTGATCTGCTACTCCTCACCCAGAAAGCCAGCGAAGTAATGCTTGTATATTTATAATTAACCTTTAATTTACCTTTAATGAAGGTTTCATAAGCAATCATGCATACAATTTTTATGTGTTTCATCACTGGCTGTGAAGCCTTTTGTGGTTTAATAGTTTACATAGAATTGGAAAAACCTATACTTGGCATATCAGATATGTTAGAGTCCACAAATGGGATGGTTTCTTGTTATGCCACTAATGTTAGTAATAATTATTAGGAGCTCAGTTTATAGTAGAGACACTAGAAATCACACATGCAAGTTAGGGTATTTTTAAAATTTGGGATCATTAATGAAAAATAAATTTTTGCCTACTTTAACACTATCAAGCCCCGCCTTCTCTGTGCCTCCAGTTCTTTAAGTGTGGTCTGGGCCAAGTGGGAGACTCCTCTTGGTGGACTGTAAAATTATGTATGATGCTTAGTCAGTTGATAAACCAACTTATATTTGTGACTAAACTTTACTTACTGGTAACTTACTGAATGAATTGAGGATTACAAAAGTTGATATTCATAAACAATATGTTAGTACCAAAGTTTATTGAGTATACTAGTTGAATAATCGAGTAAGAATTCTGGCCACCATGCAATGCTTGGGATTGGTTGCAAGTTCCTGTAATTTTCACAATTTGGAGAAAGGATACTTTTATTTGTGCACCATCTTAGTTCATTTTGGAATGGAGTTTTCAAATCGTTTCTGTTTTTAAATTGTCTATTACTGTTAGTTTAAAGCATCATGATCAATTTATTTTAGTGAAGATTGATTTACATGGTAATATGTAGTTGCCCTTTGCTTATTTTTAAGGAGTTAGGCTTTAGGATTTATATTTGCTGTTCAAATATGAATTGTTTATCATCTATTACTAAAAGAGTTGATTACCTCATTCCTTTAATCTATTAATACCTCCTAACCCCTCTTTCCCTGAGAGAGAAAAATTGATTTAATATTATTCCTCTCCACTGGAGAGTGAGATAGGTATCCCCTATAGTCTCATCCTCTCCCAACTAGGCAGTGCTCAAAAGAGTTCAAGCTGTTAGTTCTATACAAGGAATCAAAGAAGCTGGCTCTTAGAAGCTACCTGCAATCTCTCCCTACGCCAGTCTGTAACTTTACTACAGCAGAAATGCTTAGGATGCTTATAAACTAGTAGCCTATTTTCAGTACCTGATCTGCTTTATATTTATGGAGTTCATTCTAGTGTTTCTTACATTATTACACTCTATCTTCTTACATTTGGATACGAATTGCAGTTTTGAAGTTAATTATCACAAACTTCATTCAAATAACTAAGGTCCCAGTGTATGAATTCATGCACCTTGAAAGGAACTGTGGGCTGCGAGGCTGCAGTAGGCAGAGGGGCGGGTCTCAGCCCATCCTCTGTGCTCTGCCGAGCCCCTCCTGCCACGGCCCTGGTCCCCTGTCTGCTGGGGACAGGCCCTTCTCGCACCCGCTGATGATGTGGAGTGATTGGAGCTGGTGCCAGCAGCAGGTGCAAGTGGGGCTAGCACTATCAGCAGGTGTGAGTGGCAGCTGCTGCCCCAATCACCCCTCAGGAGCAGGGCAAGGTGGAGAAGCCCTCAGGGGCGATCAGGGCCAGCACCAGCAATGGGCGTGAGAGACAGTTGCGGAGCCCATTGCCCCTTAAGCGTAGGGGGAAGTGGAGAAGCCCTGAGAGACAATTAGGGCTGGCAAGCCAGGCACAGGCAGTGGGTGTGAGCAGCAGCTCTGGTGCTGGCAGCGGGTGCAAACCAGGCTGGCACCGGCAGCAGGTGCACCAGGTGGGACTGCAGCGCACGGGAGCAAAGAATATTCAGTAACCACCAGAGGCTCACCCTGATGACAGTGACTGGCACCCTGCTTTGGTCTGGTGCCCTGATCACCTGCTCCACCATCCCACTGCAGCAGCCGCCCACCATGTTCTGCACTGTGCTGCCTGTTGCCAACGCCTGCTATATTCCACATGCACCTCCTGGTGGTCAGCGCACATCATAGCAATCAGTTGTTCGGTTCTTCTGCCGTTAGGTCTATTTGCATATTAGGGTTTTATATATTAGATGATTGAATTCTGTATGTCACCCTCCCCCTACTTTGGGATGGGCAGCCTGCTATATAAAAGTTTAGAACAGTTTACAGATGACAGTTGAATTCTAGCTATTAAATAGGTTGGTAAAAGATGGAGCACAGCTTATAAATCCTAGGTACTAATGCATATCTAGGTACCTGAGTGTTTGTACTATTAGTGGTAGGAAAAAAAGTCCTACAGATTATCTGTTTGGAGTGTGGTATGCAGTGTTGTAGACCAGGGATTATAGTGATGTTTTAATCTCTTGTCAGCAGTATGAATTTTAGCAACCTTTAAAAAAAAAAAATATATATATATATATATATATATATATATATATATATTTTTTTTTTTTTTTTTCCCCCATTGATCTTAGAGAGGAAGGAAGAGGGAGAGAGAGAGAGAAACATCAGTGATAAAAGAGAATCATCAATAGGCTGCCTTCCACATACCCCTCACTAGGAATTGAGCCCACAACCTGGGCATGTGCCCTGACCTGGAATCAAATTGCAACCTCCTGGTTCACAGATCAACACGATTTCAGCAATCCTTGAGTCTCAGATTATCTCTCTGTAAAAGGAAAATAGTTACTTAAAAGTTGTCTTGATAATCAAGTGGGGTAATATGTTTAAAAACAGGTAGGAATTTTTTTTTTTAAGTAACGATAGGTAGGAAATTGAAACATAAATATTAGCCCTGGCCAGATGGTTCAGTTGGTTGAAGCATTGTCCCGTACACCAAAGCGTTGCTGGTTTGATTCCCATTTGGGGCAAATACCTAGGTTGCAGGTTCATTCCTTGGTCAGGGTCTACGGGAGGTGGCCAATCGATGTTTCTCACATTGATGTTTCTCTCTCACTTCCTCTCTCTAAAAAGCAATAAAAGCATATCCTGGTGAGAACTAAAAAAACAAAAACGTTAGTTTCTCATTGATTACGCTGCCATAAACTTTGATGATCCCTATGGTTCAGGCTCATTCCAGAAAAGACTGATTATTCCTGAGAAATTCTCAAATTTTAACTCCTTGATATGTATACCCTGGCTTTCCTTGATTTCTGTGATGAGCATTGACTCAGCCATGAGGCTTTTGATAATCTTCTCAAGATCTTGGGTAACTAAGAAGTGATTTTGGAGTTGAGGTGAAGCCAAAAATGAGACTACAGGCTTTTAGTAGTAAAAATTTGTGACAAGTGCTTGCTTCTCCTTGCTCATCAATACTGGGTTGATAGAGCTCTTTACTTTACTATCTGATAGGTGAAAAATTATATCTCACAGTTTATTTGATTTACATCTTAATTTTTAATGAGAGCAGAACCTCTTTCCCCACCCCCCCCCCCCAGGAATTATCTCTTCCTGTTATTTATTCATTGTTCTTACAAATTTGTGAAAACTCTTAGTATATATTATGGGTAATTTTTCCCCCTACTTCATAATAAAAGAACACAATATAGGTTCGAAAAGCTTACAGTGACATCAGATCCTTGCCCTACTACCACATACTTGCCATTCATGTTGGCTTTGAAAATATGCTTGTATGCAGGGCTGATTTGAACAATTCCTATAAAAGAAAGACAACCTAATATTTTGTTTCTGTGTCCTTTAATTCTTTATTTTCTGGGAAGCAGACATGAATTTCCTGTGCCCTTACTTCCTGTTTGGGGCCTTTATCAATATAATCACATGGCTTCTGGTATTTCCTTTCCATTGAAGAAACTGAGCTTTGTGGGCTTTGTGGATAAGTAGATTTAAAATATTCAAGCACATAACATTCAACACAACAAAAACTATGGCTATGAATACAGGTACTCATTGTTGCTGTCCATACACTTTGAAATTCTTTAATACCCATGTACCTGAGTATTTATATCCCTATATGTAATTAAAAAGTTAAAAAAAAACCTTACACCTGAATTAAATGCCAAATATAGTTATTTATGTATATGCAGTTTATTTTTAACATTGTGAATCAAGATACAGAGGCTTTCACACTTGTAATAGCCAAGTACTTTGTAAATATAGAAAGCCCATACATGTTTAATAATATAGAAGTCTGTCTATTCTGGTAGTTGTTGTCCTCATATAACCCAGTGCAGTACTTTGGTCTAGCAGTACAGATTTGGGAATTTAAACGCATATCTTGCGGCTTCCATTTTCATTTTGGCTCAATTTACTTAAATGAATTGGCCAACCTCACTATCTTGATTTCTTGAATTTGATCATACACAATGTTGTTTTCAATGTTGAAAGTTTCAAGTAGATAATATGAACCATTTTTGATCTTTGAATTAAACAGTGAATTATGGTATATTAATTTCTTCAAAGGAGCTTCAAGCATGATATAAGTAAACTCATTAATTTTACAGTATTCCTTTGAGGTATACTGCCAATGTTGTTGTTGCTGCACAAATGGCAGGGCACTTTGAAAGCCTTATGATTCATCCAGAGGGACTGAAGTTCATAGGTCATTCACTCTACTCTGAAGAATTCCACTCTGTTATTCTGAGAACAGTGGTTTCCTCTCCTGTATCTCTGTGCAGTGATGATGCTAGATGATTATGTCATAAAGACCGTTTTTAGTGCTTTGAGGTGTACTGAGTATATGCTATTGGGAAAACTTGTGAGATTGACCTTTGTGTGATTTGAATTAGGAAGGAGTATCTAAATTTATAAAAAGTCTGAATTATGCAAAAATATTTTTTTTATTAACTTCTATCTGCAACAATATTTAGTTGAGTAGTTTAGATCTAAAGTTCAAATTTTCTGGAGCAGAAGAGGAATAGTTTTTTAGGCTTTTTCTTTAAGTTATCATACAATCTCTTGCCATAGGAGAGAAGAGCTTCTACCCTAGTTTCCCCTCCCTAAGCAAAGAGCCAGGTGTCAGCAAGACTTCTTTCCCAGCCCTAAGGCAGGCTGACGTGAACAAGCCCCTCTGGCTTCAGTACACTCGGCATCTGGACTGAGTGACCCTGGCAGCTAACATTTGTTGTAACAACTTCAGTGTGTGGTATAAACCCCTCTCTTCTGGAAGAGAAACTTCACAGGGAAACTCATCTAGTTTCTACTGCTTTGACAATCATTCTAGCACTTAAAAACATGTTTTTAAAATGGATAAAATGAAATTGTAAAATTTCCTAGGCAACCAAATATATTGGAAAAATTATAATATAGAACAAAATTTGTATGTAATATGTAACATTCTAATAGCTATCATTTTGAACAAGTGTAAAGCTATTGTGAAAAATCTATATATATATTATAAAAGCCTAAGCAACCATTATGATCAGTTGACTAAACGACTGGTCAACCAGTTGCTATGATGCACACTGACCATCAGGGGACAGACGCCCAACACAGGAGCTGACTAGAACAAATACAGCCAACTTCTTGTGGCCAGCCAAACTCCCTCAGTCCCTCTCCCCCCCCAGCCAGCCCGCCCAACTGGCTCTGATCATCCCGGATAACTGGCCAGGCCGAGGGACCCCACCTATGCATGAATTCGTGCTCTGGGCCTCTAGTTGTAATATAATATGACTTTTAAACGTTATCGGAAAATAGGGCATAATACTGGTAGGTAGGAGGCTTTAGTTATAATTTCCCTTCTTCTGTAGACCACCGTGGAACAAAGAGACTTAAAGACAACTCTTTTCATCTATTGGTGCATCTGGAAAATCTAATAGTACTTGATAGTTTGAATTCTTTCCAGCCATGACCTCTAGAAATGCCTAAAATGAATGATATATGTTAAAACAATTGCTTGGCTGGGACCGGTTTGGCTCAGTGGATAGAGTGTCGGCCTGCGGACTGAAAGGTCCCGGGTTCGATTCCGGGCAAGGGCATGTACCTTGGTTGCGGGCACATCCCCAGTGGGGGGTGTGCAAGAGGCAGCTGATCGATGATTCTCTCTCATCGGTATTTCTAACTCTCTATCCCTTTCTCTTCCTCTCTGTGAAAAATCAATAAAAAATATTTAAAAAATAAATAAATAAATAAAACAATTGCTTGGAAATTAAAGTGTAAGATGGTATGTATTCTATAAAAAAATTATTCTGGGGCTGGAGAGGGAATTATATTCCTTACTTTGTACATAAAGATGAGTACTATATCCTGAAAAAAAAAAAAGTGAATGTCTTTAAATAATGTAGTTTTGTCATGAGATTGTTTTTACTCCTATTCTGCTTTGAGTAAGGTGATAAAAAGTGCATATAAAGTGCCCTCCAACCCCTTCTTTTTGGCAAAAGACTTAACTAGGTTTTTGTTTTGAATTTAGAAGAAGAGGGATAGGTTTTTTTTTTTTTGTGTGTGTGTGTGTGTGTGTGTTGTGGACTGAGAATGTTTGTGTTATGTATTCATCTAGTTCCTCTCCCCCCCACCCCCTCTACTTATCTCTGGTATTTAGATTGTGCTGAAAATATGCTAAGATAACAACACTTGAAACTTAGCTACTTTTGATTTCAGGTATTTCAGATAACTCTATGACATTAAGTCCTTTAAACTTTCTTCTGTTCAAATAAAAGAATTCTCTTTCATCAACTACCCAAAGAAATAGCCTGAAAAGATACAACTGGTGAGATTAGAGAGTTATTTTTTTCATTGGCATTCATGTGACTTTTTTTTTTTTTTTTTTTTCGTTAACACGGTAGGACTTAGATCAAAATGTTTACCTGTTCAAGTTTTTTTAGTGGAGAGTGAAGGGAGGGGAACAGAGGCACTGGGAGAGAAAACATATAAATATAACAACCACAGAGTTCTGGCACAAGGTAGGGGAAAAATGTCTTTGAATCTAAATCTTTGCAATAAAAGGCAACAGATTCCATTTATTTGACTAGATCTATAATGATCATTTGCCTAATATTTTCTCTATTTTCCCCCTTTTTCTTATAAGGTAAATTTGAAGAAAAAGAAGATAGTGTGCCTAAGCTAGAGCAGCTCAACAGCCTGGGTTGTATGACTAATATGAATCTAGTATTGACAAAACAAAATTTGCTACATATGGAACTATTATTATTAGAAACTTTTCAGTGGAACCTCTGCCTTCCAACAGCTGCCCATTTCATCGAGTATTATCTCTCTGAAGCAGTACATGAAACAGATCTTCATGATGGCTGGCCAATGATTTGCTTGGAAAAAACTAAACTCTACATGGCCAAGTATGCAGATTACTTCCTAGAAGTGTCTTTGCAAGGTGAGTGATTGTGGATGCCAGTAAGTGACTTGTGAGCTTGTGACTTGTGTATTCTGTTGCTTAAGTTCATTTTTGATGTCTCCACAGATTATGCCTTTCTAAATTATGCACCTTCTTTAGTAGCTGCTGCATGTGTGGCTTCTTCAAGGATTATACTTCGTCTTTCTCCAACGTGGCCTACAAGACTTCATCGTCTTACTGCTTACTCCTGGGATTTCTTAGTGCAGTGCATTGAACGGCTACTGATGTAAGCCTCTTTGTTCTTGTGTTTGCAATGTTTCAGAAATGTTTTTCTACATGTATAAGGGGCCTTAAAAGCAACTTTTCAAATGCACAGAGGTTTAGGGTATTTGCTCTGATGCTTTTGCTGCCATGAACAAGCTGTTGTAAGAGTGATACTTGGTGGAAGGGGAGCCCCTTTTGGCTGTTATCCAGGTAGATGTCATTGCTTGTATGATTCTGAGTACATGATAAGGAAAGAAGCTGCTCTGGTGCAAGCCTATGATTGTGAGGTCAGTCCAGGTAAATCTTGCCTTGCTCTTCATTACCACATCTTTGAATCATTGGGCCCCAGGATGTCACCAAAGTAGGAGTTACAGTTAAGTGCTTTTTGTAGATATATCTCCCGAGCTGGACATAACCTTTAAAGCTACCAGCAGCATGTTCCCTAGGTTTCTACCAAGGGAAGAAGCTCTTAGAAGGATAAATAAAGTCTCGCGTTATTGAAATTATGGTTATAGTGACAGCTTTCTAGACATAGCAGTGTTGTATGTGGAGTCAGCTGTGGAGGAGTTGGGGGTGGTACATGACTTTCTATAAATTCTTCTCAAATAACATTAGCAGTTTCCTTTCAATCTATGTTGTAGTGCTCATGATAATGATGTGAAAGAAGCAAACAAACAAAGAGGACAAGCAGTACCTCAGCCAGCACAACTAAGTGTATTCCAGACAACCTCCCAGCCCTCGCGGCCAGTTCACTTTCAGCAACCTCAGTATCTCCATCAAACGCATCAGACCTCACTGCAGTATCGCCATCCTGTATCAGAGCAACCAAGCTGTCAGCAGATTGTATCTACCACACACACCTCATCTTACACACTACAGACATGTCCTGCTGGCTTCCAGACTAGTGTACAGGGCCTTGGGCATGTGCAGACTGGTGTTGGGATGTCGCTGGCAATACCAGTGGAAGTTAAGCCCTGTCTAAATGTTTCTTATAACCGGAGTTATCAGCTAAATGAACATTTCCCTTGCATTACTCCATGTTTTGAAAGGTGATTTTGTGTGACGGTAACACCTGACCCAGACTGTTTTGTGACTTGAAGCTGTGGGCCAGCTTTTTATAAACTTCTCTAAAGGGATTCAGATTGCATCACAACTCTTCAAATAGCAGCACCAGGAAGACTGAATATCTCTTTGAATGCACCATGAATACCTGGGAGGACTAAGCAAACACTGCAAACATTTTCACAGAATGTATGTCAAATTCTGTTAAATAGCTACATGACAAAAAATTTAAGCCCCTGCTGATGGTCCAAGTATTTCACAAATATTCAATACAACAGAAATTTGGACAGATTCTATTTATTTTGCTGTTTTGAGAGTTGACCTGTGGTGGGCTCTGTGCCTGATGTTGGCTTATATTGTCAGAGATTAATGGTTGTCTGTGTTCTTGCCAAACAGTCTTTTTATGAAGGAAAGTTACAGTATTAATGTTTTGAAGAGGTCCTTTTTTTTTTTTATTCTGCAGTTTTGAGTTGTATTCTTGATCTACAAGTAATTTTTTGACTTAAGTTTAAACTCATGAATTGCTATACTTATCTGTACAGTAAAAATAAATTTTAGATGATTCTACATAACTTCATATCACAAGATAGTATAGGTACCTGGATTTATGTACTAAAATTAAGGATGAAGTAGATCTCTGAAAATCATGGCCATAAATATTGATAGTTTGTTCCCCCCCTCCCCCCCTAAGTGACCAAACTCAAATCTTTAGAATTAAAATACATTTATCTCAGGGAATTTGTACTACTTGGAAACACTTAACTGTAATGCAACATGTTTTGGGAATGTTATAATATGAGCTACCTTTATAACATAGGTTAAAATACTCCTGCTAGGATATACTTTTAAATGAGAACATAATTGTAGCTTAGAATGAATGAAATGGTGGTTTCTAACTTCATAATACATATATAGATTTTGCATTTCTCAGTGTAATCAATGACTTATACTCAGATTTGATTTTACTCGAAGTTTTTTCAAGGGAAAGCATAATTGTAAAATGTCAGTACTAGAATAAAGTTCTGTAGGTTTCTTTTTAAGTGAATGTGGCCAGGATAGTTCTCAGGTTGTGCTAGAGCAGCACTTTGTTACATGGAAGACAGGTTTTATAAGCAACCTTTGTGTCCAGTTAGTATAAGCAGGCAAACGTATTGATTACTAAACTTCAGTAGCCCTGGGACTACTGAATAGATTTTCAATAGATTGGCCTCAGAAACTGCCCTGGGACATTTCACTATACTGGTAATGAGTGCAAACAGCAATAATAAGTCATTATAGCAAGGGCAATTTGAGGGTAAAGAGATTGGAGGGAGTACACATAAAAAGAAAAAAAAATTATTGTAATAACTGAAACCATATACATTGTGCCCTTATCTGTGGGAGAAGAGAGATTTGGTGGAGGGAAGCTTTCTTATTTGAAAATTAGGTGTGTCTTTTTGTTTGTGGTGTTTTTTGTTGTTGTTTTAAATAGCACTTGAATAGAAGGGAAATTGCATGGCAGGTAGGCGACTGCCACGTATGCATTGAAGACAAACTTACAAAGATGTGGGTATGCAGCAGGAGTCTCAGTAAACAAGCCAAATGGTTTCTGTTAGGAAGGGAAGGGACTCAAAAACTGATCCAGATGGCTCCAGTGGATAAGTGTGGGTGGGTGGCTTCTGCCAGTGTGAATTGTTAGAGAATGTCCTTTCCTTAAAACAGAGGTAACTTTTATAAATAGAGTACATAGGGCATGATGTGGATTTATTAGTCGGGTAGACAAAAATAAAAAATTAAAAACCACTCAGGTAAGAACACTTACATTGCAGTTTTCAAGCATGAAAATTGTTTTCTGAAAGTATCATCATTTTTCCTCTTTATAGAAGGCTGCTAATTGGATTTTGGTAGTTCTTACCTCAAGAGAACTTGAATTATTTGGGGGAAAGTGGGTTCATTAGAATATATCTTTCATATTCACATTCAGAACCCAGCAACATGGAGTCCAATTTTCAGTGTTTTAACTACCTCAGTAATACTATGAATGTAAGATACTGGGATAGAGATCCCAACTTGAAACAACAACTGGTGCCTATGGTAATTTAATGTATTGTCAAATGCTTTTATTGATTGGTTTAAATGTCATTCTTGTTATAGAATATGCCTTTTTAAAAAACTTATAAGAACACTTTCCCAGTATATTTAAAAAAGCTAAAGAACACTGGATTACTTTGAGGGGGGTGGGTGGGTAGAATAAAATAATTGGATATTATTGCTGCATACCCAAGGTGGGATGGGATGGGGTTGTTGGAGAACCAGAACTATTTTTAAAACATTAGATTTCAGTATGAATTCAAGTCACAACTGCTAGCTTTGGGAGGTGTGGGTGGGGAGTTATGTGGGTTTCGTTTTGTTTAACTTATTGATTAGTCAGTCTTTAAAGTAGGTCTTTTTTTTTTTTTTTTTTTTTTTTTTTTTGAGATTACTGGACCATCATTAAATATGTACTGTGAAGAGATTAATGATGTGTATAAAGGGCTTTACCAAAGTCCACTAAATAAACACTATTCAAATACAGACTGCAAACCAAAATGTATCTGTTATAACATTAAATGCAAATGCGAGTATGGTGCTAAAGTCTACACCAATGGAGTTAGATGAGTGCTATGCACTTAATTTTAAAATAAAACTAGTTTTCAATAAAATGGTTTTGGTGTTTTGTTTTTTTAAATGTAAATTTGATGTATATTTGCATCTTCATTGAATCATGTCATCATATAAGTCAGACTTGAAGTCATGATTATACTTGCTAAGAGGCATCTGGATGTAGAACATGACTAGTGGTGTCCATTCATTATGTATCCCAGACTGACCACCAAAGCTCACAAAAATATATTGAACACAGCTTTGGGCCTTTTGAGCTTCACATTAGTTGTTTGTATGTTAGCAGTGTCTAATTAAATAATGCAAGCTTCAGAAAATTGAAATCTAATTCAAAGGAAATAGTCAAGAGTGTGAGAAGAAATGGTCAACAGTGAGTAATAATGGCATGTTCACCTAGGTATAAGCATTATTTGCTACTAATTCAATTTAAAACTTAGATATCATTTGCTTTGAAGAGTAAAAATTTTAACAGGTTTATGAGTGTGGGTTAGGAATCCACACACCTAGAAAGTATTTTTTAAATTAGTCTTGTGTATCCTCAGTTGCTCTGGCATAGTGGCAGGGTTTAGCCACAGCCCTTAAGAGAATCAGTGAGTATACAATGATCTTTGAGGCTGAATTTAAGAAACAAAGCAGTAAGCATTCCACATCAGGATAGGTAGCTTTACTTTGAGGTGTTTCTGAATCCCACGTGACATGTTTTTAATCAACAACTGTCCTCCAGTTACATGATAAAAGAGTTACCTCCTTAGCCATAAGCAGCTTATATTTAGCTTGATATGCACACTTGAAACAACTAGAATGGTATAGTTTAAAACTCAGTTTAATATCTTGATTTCAGGATCATTCAGTATCCATTTTAAAATTCATTAGATTAAGAAACAAAAAAAAAAGTGGCCACGCTGGCATGGCTCATTGTTTGAGCATCGACCTATGAACCAGGAGGGTTCAGTAAGCAGGAGGTCAGGGCACATGCCTGGTTTGTGGGCTCAACCCCTAAAGGGCATGCATGAGGCAGCCAGTTAATGATTCTCATCATTGATGTTTCTGTCTCTTCTCTGAAAGCAATGAAAATATACTTAAAACATATGACAAGTACAGTCATTTGAAAGAAAGCATCAAGACCAGACTCCGCCTTCTATGGGAAAGATACTTGCTGCTACCCTACTCCACTATCGTTGTATTTTTAAGACTTTGTTAGAGCAGTTTTAGGTTCACAGCAAAATTGAGAAGAAGGTAAAGAATTCTCAGGTACCTCCTGCCCCAACACATGCACAGCCACCTCCATTTTCAGCATCCTCTAACAGGGTGGTACATTTATTACAATTGATACATTCACTCATCTTAATCACCAGAAGCCCATAGTTTACATTATGGTTCAGTCTTGATGGTATACATTCTTTGGGTATTCACTATGGTTACATACAAGTATTTTAACTGCTAAGAACACTCTATACCCTACCAATTCATCCCTCCCCATGCTGTCCCCTAACCCTTGACAAAACACTGATCTTTTAGTCTCCATGATTTTGCCTTTTCTAGAATGTCATATAGTTGAGATCATATAGTATATAGGCTCTCCAGATTTTTTTCCCCACTTGGTAATGTGCATTTAAGGTTCCTTCATGTCTTTTCATGGTTTGAAAGCCCTTTTCATTGTCTGGATGGATCACAGTTTATTTATCCAGTCACCTACTGAAGGCTATCTTGGTGCCTCCAAATTTCCGTGATTATGAATAAAGCTGCTAAAACACCTGTGTGAGGTTTCACTGTGGACATAAGTTTTAGCTTCTTTGGGGAAATGCCAAGAATTACAGGGCTAGAGTATGTTTGGTTTTATAAATAAAAAAAAATAAAAAAAAAAAACACAAAAAAACTGCAAAATTATCTTACAAAATTATCTTAAAAAATCATTTTGCCTTCCCACAAGCATTGAGGGTACCTGTTGTTCTACATCCTCACCAGCCTTGGGTGTTGTCAGTGTTCCAGATTTTGGCCAAATAGGTATGTAGTTGTATCTCATTTCAATTTGCATTTCCCAAATGACAATTGATGTGGAGCAACTTTTCATATGTTTATTTTATATCTGTATGTCTTTAGTGGGTTGTGTGTTAAGGTCTTTAGCTCATTTTAAAAATCAGGTTGTTTGTTTTCTTACTGACTTTTAAAAGTTCTTTGTATATTTTGGACAGCAACCTTTTATTAAATGCATCTTTTGCAAATAATTTATCCCAGTTTGTGGCTTGTCTTATTCTCTTGACATTGTCTTTTGCAGAACAAAGTTCCTGATTTTCATGAAGTCCAGCTTATCAATCATTACTTATACAAGGGAATTACAGATACTGAAAGTC